AATATACATTAACCAATTTTGCATTACTTTAATATCCTGTGCTACAATATGTTTTAACAAAATCAGAGGATATTCAAAGCCAACTGTACTACAGTTGATGTATGTGAAATTTATATTATTACATTTTTTCTAACGGTGAAAGACAGAAGTTTCATCTTGGAGTTCTACCTGCCAATAACCAGATTTTAAGTCAAGTTTCGAAAAGAATTGGGAACCAGAGAGAAGGTGAAGAGTATCTTCCACCTTCGGAATACCATAGGCATCCTTCTTTGTTCGTTGATTCAAGCGTCTGAAGTCGATACAGAATCTGATGGTTCCGTCTTTCTTTCGAACTATCACAACGTTCGAGGACCAAGGACTTTTAGACTCACGAATAGCACCTATCTGTAGCATATCCTGTAGATGTTCTTTAACTTCTGCCAATAAATGTGGTGGTACTCTACGGTATGGCTCTTTAAATGGTGTGTCAATCAGAAGTTCTATTCTATGTCTGACTGCATCAGTATTTCCAAGATCTAAAGACGTTTTCGGAAATATTTGATTCCATTTCTTAAAATCTCCTCCTTCCCTTCATCTCTATACGGAATATCGATGATATTCAGACAGATGTTATTGAAGTCACTCAGTTAGACGACCAAACAAACCCTGTCGATGATGGTGAAGCCGACGAAGACTTACCAGAATCCACCTACTCAAGCCCTGACGAAAGGCTGTGTCAAGAAGACATACTTACCCCACTGTCATCACCCAGAAGTAGTGAACCGCCAGGTATGTCACCACACGATCATACACGAACCACCAGAGTCAGAAGGCAACCCAACTGGATGACTTCTGGAGACTTTGTAGTTAAATCGAAATTTCGTTGTCTCCTTCACTTACATATGTATAAACTTACCTTACAATGTACAACTTACCTGACTATGTATAACTTACCGTGCATGGTTATACCATATTTACCTTAAAGTATACATGTACTAGGAGAGGATACTAGTAGAAGCTGTATCTTCTTATGTAACTTACCTGTATTTGATTGCTGAGTTAGTTGTTTGTCTATGTTTAGTATAAAATTATACTTATTATAAGATAAAATTGGTAATACTTACCTGATACTTACCTTATACTTACCTTTATTGTTGTCCTAATATGCTATATGCTGTCGTGATACTTACCGATTCCATATAGTTTACCGAAGTATAGATTTGCTGATAGAGTAGCTGGGATTGTTATCTTAGATATGTAGAGTGATAAATTAAATTGGCAATATCTTTGGTAGATGCGTAGTTGTATCCATTTAAGAAGCGCTGTTTCATTTTATTTTTTGTGTGTGTCTGTGATTTGTTATTCAATAGTCATTGTTATTAGCACGCGTTCTTCCAGTTCAGGCTATTATACCAGAAAGTCGGGAGCCTTTCTTCTTGACCAGGGGCATTATGTCATAGAGTTATTATTATATAGTAAGTGTCTTTGTGATTTGTTATTAATCTTCGGGAGCCTGTGTCACAATTATTGAAAATTACCAATAAAACAATTAAAATTATATGAAGTGTCGTTTTTATATACAGTCTATTTCATTAATTACAATCCATCTTACTCCATGATCTCAAATCCTGTTATCCACCTTACATTTCATGTTAACTATTTACTAACAATACAATCATACTAACCTGTCACCCGTAACTGAATCGCGGATGGTCAGGTGACAAATGTATGCATCGATGCAGTTGCCATATGACCATTGATGTATTCAGTTACATAATAAATATATCTTGGATATATATATTTCAGCTTAGTTAGTTAGTTAGTTAGTTTTTAGTTTAACTTTCTAAATTATCTTGTTATTATTAAATATTTAAGACAATAGAATAATGAATTATTTGTTACTTGTATAAGTTTAATTACTATTCTGTTTAACTGTTTTTGTAATTATTGTTTGGCAGTTGCCATATGACCATTGATGTATTCAGTTGCATAATAAATAGATCTTGAATATATATATATTTCAGTGTTCTTTCTACATTGAGTCACATGAACTCATTAGAAATATATGCCGGCTGGCTACGTCGACATGTTCATAAATTATTGTTACTATTTTGCACTTATTCAAAAGTACAAACGATATGTTTATATTAACAAATCATTCTTTTGTGAAGCGTGAACTTTATTTTTACCTTTCAAACCAAACAAAAGTAGAACAGTTTCAAAAATTAGTATTCATTTAAGCGTTTGTAAAATAATTATGATGGATCTTTGGCCGTGTAAATGTAGGCCTTTCAGTGGTTTATTTTATATTTCAAAGTAAACAACACGTCATACATGTGAAAATGGATGGAAAATAGACTGATATGACTTACAAAATCAAAGTCAAGTAGGTGACATCCTATAACTAAATCAACATTAATTATATAACAGATTACTATTCTGTTCCTTGAATATTATTTCGACTGAAGAATGTCAATTACAAACCCAAACCAACCACGAGCAAAATTATAATTATACTAGGTTTTAGGTGATTTAAGTCTGTATGATTCACAAATCGTAACCTTAGTGCAATAACGTAATAAGTCCTTCTTAATTTAAAAGCAATTATTCAACTATTCCACTAAGGTGACGAAATGTTAATGATGTATATTCTATTTTGAGACTGGTAATGCAAGGTAAGTTGATGTTTTGCAAATGAATATTTTCAATATATAACGTTTTTATCACTAGTTTCAATAGTTTGAAAAATTAACCTATACATGCCTTGTATTTATGATTAACTGTTTGATATGAATACCGTTAATAAGGTTCAAAAATAGTACGGTTCAAACATCATGATAGTTTTGCATCATCTATGAATTCTGATCCGATCAAATGGCATGAAAGAATAAGCTGACATGCACAACATATTTTGATTGGAATTTTTTTCCGAGATTAGTGTACCATTTGATATAGGTCGTAATTAATAAATTGTATGAAAAAATGAAAAAAAAATTGGATAGCCTCATTCTGGTTTTCACGAAATCATAATTTTTATTTAGCAAAATGACCAAAAGTAAAAAGCGTTACAGAGCTTTTCACTCAAACCTGGACTAAAAATCACATAAAAGTATCAATTTGATTCTGAGTATATATATTTGTATTTTTTTGCAGACTGTTTTATTTTAAGTGTTTATTTTAGAAAGAAGGGTGTCCAATTTCTTTTTAAAATTCAAATAAAAGTGTGTTAAAGATAATGGTTTGTATACTAAACTAATATATCGCTTGTTTATTATTGTATGCAAATTGTGTCGTAAAAATTTGAAATAAACGAAAGTTAAAAAGTCCCTTAATACAATCATTAACATGAGATTGAATTTTCTTCTAATACACAGCCGTGGTATAATGTATTGAAATAATGTCAATTTTAAACGCGCTAAATCTTGTAACGTAAGGATCTTTAGTGGATAAGGCTTTTAGTTGAAGACCCCTATATTTTTTTCAAAAACTACCATAATGATTATAATTATTCTTCTTACAATGACGAAAATCTTTATATTTTGTTTTCTAAGTGAGTTCCATTTAAGATAAAATAAGATCAGATAAGATAAGATTAGATAAATTTTATTCATACTGTATGCCAATCTGTAAACAATAATTATACAACCGGAATTTACATGACAACAATGTCATGATATAAGCATAGTATAAAATATGGTATATTACAAAGTCAATTAAAACAAAACAGATCTAATATATAATATATATCATTCAGTGAGAGGATAAGATTATCGTTCATAAAGTGTTCTGCCCTCCCTTTTATCAAAACGTTTGACAACAAATATCGCTATTTTTTAAAAATATATTTAAGCATGTAAAATTGCAACGTAATGATATTTGAGTAGCCGATATTTGCTATTTAACTTGACAATTATACAGTATATATAACCTTTTGAACTGTATGTATACTCGAACATAAATAACTAGACGTATAAACTAGCATGGTGCAAAAACGGCATATACATCATCTTAACTTACAAATTATGAAAATGATGGATTTGATTAACAGATGCTGTTGTATAATAAAGAAGTAATTCAAATTGCATTAATTCGAAATGCTGACCTTCTTTATGAAATCACTGCGCAGCTTTATCTGGCACTTCAAGCGGCGACGTTGACGAAACGCCAGAAAAGTTTTTGTATTCTTCCACGTACGTAAAATGCATTTTGATCTTGTTATTTTGAAAATTTATAATCTTTTTGAATTTATTGACTAAATATTTGTCCTTTTTATTTCGGTTGGTTCTTCAATGTTTGGCTCATTTTTGTTGTATGAAAATTAATACGATATTACGTAAAATAAGAAAATATATAATTTAATGTATATATACATATATGAAACATTAAATATTTTCTAATTTCATGGGTACATGTAATCTATGTATCTCGATAGTTTACAATCAATTTATATTCATTTACAAGTTTAAATTTCCAATTTGCTTAAAATTACATATTTAAAGAAAATTCGCTTAACAAAATGTTTCACATTGGCAAGTTTTGATCACTCAAGCTATGGTTTGGTTTGGTTTAAACATATTTATTTAAGCTCGATTGCGAAACAAGTTCTTGCAACTTGTATCAAACACTTTCGAGACCGCTTCATAAAAAAACTAGATTCAAGCTATCTAAATGCTCGATGTGCGTATAAGATATTTAGTTATATTTAAGTTAACATCATGCAAAAATTGTTACAGTGATTTATTTACTAATTAATTAATGCATTTATTTATTTATTTATTTATTTATTTATTTATTTATCTATCTATCTATTTATCTATTTATTTATTTATATATTACTTCTAGTATCATCATTATTATTATTATAATTAAATTTATTATTATTATTATTTTTATTATTATTATTATTATTATTATTATTATTATTATTGAATTTTATTTTTATTATTATTATAATTATTATTATTATTATTATTATTATTATTATTATTATTATTTCAAAATGAAACAGATCACACAGGATAATGACGGGACTAACAATAGCTGTACTGGTTTTGACAGCCATAGTTTTAGCGACGGGCGAAATACAGACATTCAGACAGAATGTACCTACCTTTATGACAGGAATCGCTCGAAGAACTGTCAAAGAAAGACTTAGCGTTCAACCTCCGCCGATGCCTGGATTCAATTTAAATGCGGTTGGTTATTTTCTCTTTTTTATTATTTATTTATTTTTTATTTATATTTTATTCATTTATTCATTTTTTATTTATTATATGGCGACACTAAGTTGTGTCGCTTCGTGAAGGGTTTGAGACAATAAGTATTAATAAATAAGATCACAAATGCATCCAAGAAATTGGCTAACCTTTATTTTCAAGTATTGACAGTTCTTTTGCGATTGAAACATAACATATACTGTTATTAACTTTTCAGTGGCTTAGTCCATGGTTTTATCAATTTCATAAGGTACCATGTAGTTGGGCTATTGCAGATGATTTCTCTGATTACACTGAATTGTTTGTACCTGATGGCAATGTATTTTTGAAATTTGATATGATATCACATGATGAACAAAAGACAAATATTAATGATCTACCCATGAAATAAGCAAACTTATCAAATATTTGGGCATATGAAATAATGTGTTTCCTTGAACGTTTTTCTGTTATCATATACTACATGTACTAAGAACAGGCAAATAAATAAATAAAGTGTATTCAGTTTAGTTCGATTACACGTGAATAAAGCTATATGCATATCGTAACAACTTCGAGTCCGTTCCTGAAACAAATCAGCAATATAAAGGTTTTTGCTGTATATAACAATGACTTGCCCCTGGCGGGGTTTAAAGTTACCGCTAGAGATACTTAGATTGCTAGTTAACAAGCCCGACACGTTTACTACTCGGCCATTCGTTCACTTCTATACGTCTTTTTTGGTAATTGTAGTATAAATTATTATTACAGTGTTATGCAAAGCAAAATATTTATCAAGAGTGCAATATATAGATTTTGTTCAGTAGTACCCGAATCAAGGTATGAAATACATAGAGCATACTATCTATAATGATTCTTTTCTATATGTTTATTGAAAAAAACAACACCCTTTTAAGGACTAACGAGGCATTTATATATGTTAACTTTATTACAGAAATCGTAATGTATGTAACAAGATGACATCGATTTTCACTGTGACAGGCCCTGGAAAGTTTTCCGGCAAAGATATCATTGGTAAAAGGATTCTTACTTCTTTATTCTTACTATAAATATGCATTCTTATTATCAAAATTAACTGAATGTTAGATAATACATTGAAGTGTTCCTACTTAATGTTACGTTATTCCCATGCCCCCCGAATGAATGTACACATCTGAAATTCGCACTATTCGCCAACCGTTTCACATTCTTGTTTTGGATGTGGCTTTGTCATTCATTTAGAAATATGTCCCTATACCTTTGCAATGCACCACACCAAAAAATGTGGAGCATGCATAGTCAGATAATCCCGCTGTATCACTTTTAATGTTTTGCCTGAAGGTTAAAGGTAAAAGTTGGTCAGGGCTGTACCGAAAAATAATACCTTGTTCCAGATTTTGATATCCTTTATACACTGGATTATTGAAGCAGAGATAGCATACCTATTTAATCTATAAAATGACAAATTATCAGAAATGCAAAGATACATATTCATGCATATCTTAACAATATTAGACATTTTAAAAGGAGATGTATCGAAACACGAAGCTATCTGATTTGTACGAGAGGCCGAGTGTTTTGATGTTTTTTCTTTCTTTTTTATTAATAGCAAAAATAAAAACACATTCCCTGTTGTCACAATATGAAACCCTAGAAAAAAAACAATTATGGAGCACCTGAATATAATATTTCTATCGCTATCCCTTTCTCTGTCGTTACAATAAGTAAACCCTAGACAAAATGAGCCAATCGATGGGTATGCTCTGGAGTGTGATTAACTAAAACCTGCACTCCAGTTAACGCACTGTGCATGTATATATAAACGATTTATCTCTGACACATTTTAAACAGAAAGGTCACCCATCTATGATACAGTTAAAAAATAAATTGCATTCTATTCTAAATGTAATCCAATGAAATAATCTGTGTCGTGAGAACACAATTCTTGCTGACCGAGCGGTAAGCATTGTAAAATACCTTCTTCGTATGTTGCAGTTTCCTTAAACACAAAATATATACGTTTTGTGCATAATTGTGTTATTTACGACAACGGATTTGCGAGAGCGTAACGTACGTATGTTAATCGTATATTTAGTGATTATTGTACGTCTAGTAATTAAATTGTTATGCCCCCGCCATGTAATGGCCGGGGCATATAGTGTTACCCTGTTCCGTCCTTCCGTCATTCCGTCCTTCCGTCCTTCCATCATTCTGTCATTCTGTCATCATCAGTTTCCGTTCATTATCTTAGTAACGGTTGCACACATTCAACTCAAATTTGACATATGGATATGTCATCAGAAATACAGGTCAAGTTCAAATTTGGTCGTGGTTCAATGATTTTTGGCAGAGTTATGCCCCTTTCACTTTAAAAATAATATGAAAATTTTTTCAGTTTCTGTTTATTATCTCCCCAACAGTACAACACATTCAACTCAAATTAGACATATGGATATTTTTTTGGAATGCCCAGGCAAGTTCGAATTTGGTCATGGTTCAATGATTTTGGCAGAGTAATGCCTTTTCACTTTGAAATAATATGAAATTTACAGTTTCTGTTCATTATTTACCAACAGTGTTACATATTGTCAACTCAAAATTTGACATATGGATATGTCAAAGGAATGGGCAGGTCAAGTTCGAATTTGGTCATGGTTCGATGATTTTTTGGCAGAGTTATGTCCCTTTCACTTTGAAAATAATATAGATACATCTTAGGAATAAGCAGTTTAAGTTTGAATTTGGTCGTGGTTCAATGATTTTGGACAAACTTAGCTTTCTTGAATGTTGGAAAAATTTTGAACTTTCATACTTTTGTGGAAATGTATGTAGCCATTATTTTGGCTACAAATATGAAATATGCTATTTTCAAAAGGTTAAGACTGAATAATTTCAGTGCTTTGAACATTGTATGAAAAAGGTTTTTTGTTAACATTGAAAAGTTTTAAGGACTGTGAACTGGAAATGAACAAAATAATTTGTGCAAACAAATTTTGAACTAAATATTATAACATCTGCAATTTTGGCTGCATGCAGAGGCATCCGTGGCATGATGACACATTTCTAGTTTTTACTTAATATATAAATACAAAAATACTTGCATTTATCGGAGTGGTATCTAGTGCAGTGACCAAAATAGCCAATGCATCAAATCCACAGAAATGATAATGTATATGTTTATATAGAATTGTGTGATTATTTATATGTTATATAAAACTATAGAGAACAAGTTCTAAAGATTTAAAACACTATATTTTAGGGGACAACTGGTCTGGAAAAGTTGTTGTAGTAGGAACGGACTATCAAGGATTTTCAATTTTATCGGGATGCACAAAATGGTCGGCAATTAAACAAAGATGTACTGATCCTTGGCTGTATATAAAAACACGACAAAGGCAGTTGTCTCAGGATATTGTTAGAAGGCTAGAATCTGCGCTTCAAAACATATTTGGTATATCACTCAACGAGCTAACAAGAATAAGTCATGCGAGACGTAAGTCTAGTTTACAATGACAGAGTGTTTTTTTATTTTTATATGACTACACAAAAGGTACTTATAGTCTGATTAAAGGCAGGTTATGCCTCAGTAATGAATAATTATTTTCCCATCTTTAGAAAAAGGAAACACTTGTTTTTAAATGTTTAAATAATGGTTTTATAGCATGTTAGATACTTAAAACCAAACGAATGAAGCAGATAATGTGACATCAGTTGTAATAAATATAGCAAAATGTAAACAAAGTAGTATTTTGACTTCCATACAAAATACCAAATTACTATAACTATACTAATTAACAAAAGTAACAGACGCAAATGTTCCTGGCCAATGAGTAACATTTTGGAAACAATAGTTGGACACCAAAAAAAAAAAAGAAAGGATTTTGAGAAATAAAATTATAAGCATTTCTGGGGCATAACGTGCCTTTAAATGTTTCTAGATTCTATAACTGATAAAGTATTTTGGTTTATAATAATTGAGATATTGCTTTGCCTTTATCTCGGTGACAAATACCGTTTGTCAACATTTCGGTTATCCTATTAATTCAATTCTATAAAACAATTCAAATCCTCTGCATACTTGTATGCCTTATCTACATATTATGTCTTATCATGGACCATGTACTCTAAATGGGCATTACTTGTAAATAAACATTTATCATTTTAAAATACTTTAAATTTCTACATGTACTGCAATTGCAACATTTATCTAAATGTGTCGGTCAATTACTTATTTCATTATTATAATTAATCGTTTTTCTTTTGATTTTGCACAGCTTGTCCAAAAGAAATAAAGCAGGGATAGAAAAAACAAATGTTCACGGACGTGCGACAAAAAAGGAAATACAAAAATATGCTACCAGTGAATTGACGACGAATGTTTACTTACAACAACATGTTTTTCCTTTAAAGATTACTACAGCTCAGAATTTGTATATTCAGTGATTACATATATCATTTTTGCATACATTAAACATATTAATTTATATCTTGTATTGTCTGCATAGAAATAAACAATAAAGTATACTGAAAAAACTTATTACTTGAAAGCAAGTTATGCGGTAACGAAGGGTAATTGAATTTATTATTATAACCACTTTTGAAAAGTATAACAATTCGAGCTAATTTGTGGCAAGCGAGCAGAACATTTAGGAAAGCAAGAAATGAGAAGGCTTTAACTATAGTTTAAATCGATATATCGGTCATCTTATATATAATATAATATATAGTTATAGTTGAAAGAAACCGAAATGACACTTTAAAATGTTCATGATATGTGTGCTCTGACAACAATCAGTATGTTTTTCCGCCAACACCTTACTTAATTTATGATACCACAAAATTCTTTCATCCGGGTTATTTCTAGTATCACGTGATGTCATAGGACAATAACACCACATGTGAACGCACAGAATCCGAGATCGTATCAAACATAGAGGGAAACAAATTAACTGCTTTGGTTTTGATGTATATATAGTAATTTGTGCCACTACAAATTATAA